AATAGTACCCAATCGTCGCAAGCAGACGTGGAATGTTGCAGAAGATCGACAAAACTGAAAGTCCCAGAACTGTTTTGACAAGTTTCTTTTCTCCCAGAGTTAACCCAAATTTGCTCTTGTCGGGCTGAGGTAGTGTAGCCTCCCTTTTCGACGTTGTTCGAATCTTGGAAGACTTATTCAGCGCGTATATCATCAACACCGTGCAAATAGACAACACACTCTGGAACAAAATATACAAAAACAAACCAGCCAGAATGTCTTGAATTGTTTCTATGGTAACCTTAGCATCATAGTCCTTGTATATTATGGTAAACCTTAGCGTTGGGGCGTAGGTTTTTGACTCATTAAAATTATCTGAGGTGGACATTGTCCATTCTAGTGTTGTTCCCACTAAGACGGATATCATGATACAAGTTATCACGCTGTAAATTATCACAATTCCTATGATACACCGTTTGCGTGTGAATATTCGCTTTACAGTAAAAGGAAACAAAACACAGCAACATCTCTCTACAGATATCAAAGCTGTTATCCCGCATGAGATTAGGTACAGGGAATATTTAGCGTAGGAAAATACCAAAAACCGCAATGCTGGTAGATCTACTGGTCCGTTTGGCCCAATAATTTCAGCGATATCCGTGAAACAACTTGCCACTTGAAATAAACTATACAGCATGTCCGTGATAGACAAAACAAAGATGGCGACGTTCATGCTGGATGTGAGACCGAGGCTGAGAAAAATGGCGGCATTGAGTAGGTTGGTCACTACACCAGACAGAGATAACAATCCCTGTATGACGATGGTTACTATCAAGTCGTAATATTGTAAAGCAAGGTCAGAAATAAGGAACTCTCTTGACTGGGAGACTATTTTATCAACATCTGTCTCATCTTTTTGTATAGAAATATTCATTTTTTAAAGTTTTTTTTTTTTTTTTTAATCTTCATTCAGGATAAAAAGAGTCTTGATAATTAGTAGCCTACAGCGTTATTCTTCCATATAGCCTACTCTCAAATGATGACAAGCGACAAATGATAATCCTCTAATATAACACAGCTTTTGAAAATGGACAATTAGCATTTTCTTTATAACAAAAAAATACTAAAATTTAGAAACATTTCGAAATCTCAAAGAATTAACGTTGCTAATGATTCCATTTGTAAAATATTTGTCTGTTTTAAACAGTATTTGGTTCTTTTATAAAATTAAATTAAACAATATTAGTAATTGTGTAAATGTTTCATCTATGAAAAATATTGATTAAGATGGTAATTCGTCTGTTTAGAAATCGTACAATAACGTACAGTCATAGTCACAAATAAATATACAACTCAATTACATTTGAAAGTAAGTTGATTTTTCTCCTAATTGTTGGTTAGAGATAAAGCTTTAATGTTCTTGAAAGCGAGTCTTCAATTACACAAAATGACAGACCATTGATTCATACTTCAAAACTTCTGAAAACTTTTGTTTCATTCTGGTGAAATAAATATGGGTAATTTTCTCTTCTTGCGCATTTATTAGTGGCAGTTCTCTATGTTGTGTAATTAAAACAAGTAATAACTAGCCAGGTATATAATTATTTTAACCCAGACAACAATAGATGTTTAGGTTCTAACTTAACTGCGGGACTCTTGAGGGACTTACTACAAGATGGCTGACTCCAAAATTACACACAATTAGAAAATGGAGTAAAACGACTATATTAGCTAGCTAAAAAACTTACAATATATGATGACTGTCCATAGAACGACTAACTATTGATTATTTTGATGACTGAATAAAAGATGACCGATACTACGAAGAGTATGATGAAAACCTTTTTTGGATATTTGGTCGGATCGGTAAAGTTCATGGTTGCTAAACCGTATAAGTATCGAGTTCGAACCCTCGGGCAGATGAGGAAGCAAATCCAAAAAGTAAAGCAGGTTGAAATTGGAGTTCATGGCCTTAATGGCGCATAGCCACCTGACACGTATACTTAATTGTGTTGGAGGGGATCTCTTCCATCACTAAAATTAAGAACGAAAAAAAGAAGAAGAAGAGATAGCAAATAATAAAACTCGTGCTTTGATAGTCACGGATCACAGAACAGCTACTTGTACTTAAAATCCTATATGACAGCCTTAATGGGAGGCAAAAAGTTGTGTACAATGGAACCGATTTGCGTTCTTAAAATAACTAAGCCGATAATCAACGAAGTGGAAAATACATTTAAAATATATATAGACTTATTTAATTAGGCTCAATACCGAAGGGGTGGTTATTTTCTTGACAAGACATATAAAGAAAAAGTAAAGAAGCCTATTTTAGACCAAGCGATCCATTTAGCAGCTAAAGTAGAGTTCATCTCAGGGGCGGAACTACAGTGCCGCCAGACCCCGCAATGCGGGGGGGGGGGGGGGGGGGCACGACGTTTAGGGGCCCAATTCCGACCAAAAAAGCAATGAATTATCTTTTCATAAATAATCTTTTTCGTGCACCTTGATAGTGATTTTGTAAAAAAATAAACAGGTCTACTATAGCAGTGATTGTTCTACAGTAACTAACACACACTGTTGCGTAGAAAAATATAAAATCTACATGAGCTGTTCTTTGAAAGATAGGCAAACGTTCAGACTAATTCCATGACTTACTGCCCTTCATTAAAACACAGGTGCCCGTATAGCTCATTTAAATAGTTTTGTACTATGTAAATTAAAAAGCAATTTATTCTCTAAATTAGTATATAAATAAGGCATACTAAAGATATCTATAGCTGTAAAAATGAATGTATTCAAAACTAATAATACAAATACAAAAAGTTATAAAAATAAACATAATGCAAGAAACCATTTCACAAATCAAGCTACGTGTTTATATAATTTTGAACAGCTTAGTTCATGTTAATTAATTAATTCCATAATTTTCGGTCAACATGAAAATGTAATACAAACATATGTAAAACACGATTATTGCGGGCCCGAAATGAGTTCGGACTTATTATTATTTTCTGGTTTGCTGTCTCAGGGTGGTTATACATTGCAATGAAATAAATTAAAATACTCAGGTAATAGACTATTTAATATTTAGATAAGCAGGCTACTTATATATATGGATATATATATAAGTATATATAAGTATATATGTACATATATATATATATATATATATATATATATATATATATATATATATATATATATATATATATACATACATATAGGGGGGGAGCCAAATTTTTTTTTTGCGGGGGAGCCTTTTTTTTCTAGTTCCGCCACTAGTTCATATGTTTCTTGACCTCGATATATGAAGGAAAGATGTGATCAGCATAATTCCCAGCAGTCCATACTTTCCCTAAAGTGTGTAGGTAACCATCAGAGCTGGGTGGACGCATGGACATTGTGCTGACATGAACGCTGATTCGAACACGAGTCTTTTGGGTTAGCAGCTATGTCGTCAAATATTCGAATTAAACTGTAGTTTATAATTTATTAAATATCCAACATTTACATATATTTTATTTCTCAACTTCTTTTAACAGACGGTTCGATCTGGTCGGGTGCGATATGTGGTTGGTGAAGAATGTGCGTTGTCAAAACTATCAGTGCACATAACCGTATAGAGATCGATTTTTTACTAAAGATGTGACTGCAGTTACAAGAACATTTGGCAAATAAAACTAAAGTTAACAATAGACTCTTGCACCAGCTTCTAGAACCTAAAAAGATCAGTGTAAATATTTTGTTTCTTGAGAAAAGTATAAGGCAATGGACTTATTTGTTTTTAAACATAACGACATGAACTTTAAGCATACAGAAACGTACTCATACAAATATGTTTTGTCACGTTCATTATAACAGTCAGAGTCCAAGTTATCTGGACACCAAGGACAAAATAGTGCTCCTGAGTCTGAATCTGATCTCCTGAAAGATTCCGTCAAACTTCCATGAGTCCACCCACATCTGATGGGTACCTAGCTTAACTGGCCATACTATCTATATATATAATTCTCTTCTTGGAGACAATAGAAAACACCAAACTGTAAGCGCGCTCCCTACTACCCCACCCCTACATGGTCTGGTGAGCTCTGGTTCACGCTAGATGTTTACAGTCGTAGAGCCGGGTTTAGTGACGGCTATTAGGGGCAGATAATTTAGTTTGAAACGATTTTAAACTTAGGGGAGGTAACTATGAGGAGGCTGCTTTTACGGAGGAGTGGGGGAGGGTTGTAGGGTAGGGGTTGGGGGAAAGGAGGGTGGGGGTAGTATCGTCCTTAACGACTTACTGATAGTGTTTTAAAACAAATATTTTCAGTGGCAGCATTGCTACTGTCAATTTCACAAACTATGAATTACTGAAAAGTAGAAAATAAAACAACTAAATAGCGGCGTATGATATGCCGCAGGTCGGCTCGTAATTTTATATTATTATATATTATTTTATTATATAAATGTTACAAGCTGTACTTTAACTGCAATAAGGACTACTGAAAGGGTACCAACAGACTGATGTTTATTACACGGGTATTGGATGGTGGGGTAGGAGTTTACCCCGCTTTTAGTGGGGTTAAAGATAAGCCTGGTGAGATTCAAACAGATGCGGCCGATACATAGTAATACAACCGATACCCAAGCCAGTTATTTGGAGTTTGCAGTGTTGAGGCCTGCCTGGCTAATGGGGGACAACTCGTTAGATGGTGATGTTTGTAAAGAAAGAAAAAGTACAGGGTCGCAAATATATATATATATATATATATATATATATATATATATATATATATATATATATATTTTTTTTTTTTTTTTTTTTTTTTTTTTTTTTTTTTTTTTTTTTTTTTTTTGTCGGCCCAAACTTGTAAACCACCGACTAAACAAGTTATTGAATTTGTCCTTCTGATTAATACTTTTAATGAAATTACTAAGGTATTGATTTGGAGTGTGCATAATTTTTAACAGTGGGATTTCCCGAAATTACGCAGTAAGAAAAACTTACTGTATCTTGGATACCTAAAGGTGATATGGCCATACTCAGTTATTTGAAGATGAAGGTAAGAAGAAATGGTTTGAATTAGAAAATAATCGTTTTTACAAACTTTTATTTGCATGCTTACCAAATGTTCGAAGAATATATTTTCCAGCACGTTAAGCCATTATTACATTTTCCTAAGTTAAATATTATAAATATGTAATCAAATATTTAGCATAAAGTGGAAAAATCCATTTTTTTTTCAAATTATCAAATTCACCAAATCCAAAACATTTACAAGCTACTGAAGTTATCGTAATGTTTACTGTCTAATTTTAAAATAAACATGACGCCAGTTACAATATATACATATATATATATATATATATATATATATATATATATATATATATATATATATATATATATATATATATATATATATATAATGTTTTTAATTTGAATAAAAATATCATTTTATTTTTAGCCAAATTAAAATTTCAGGAATTTCCGATTAGCTTAAAAATAAAACTTACCAATATAGGTTGAAAACATAATCTAATATATAAAGCTCAGTTCTGTATGTAATGCATATGTTTGTCGTTGGAATTGTATGAATTTAAGTGTTAGAAAATTATCGTGCGCATTTGTCTAAATTTATGAGCTAAAAAATTACTATTGAAAGTGTTGGGAAATCATTTTCATTTTTCAAATTATAGTAATAATTGTCGGCATGTTCATTAAACACAAGTTTTAAAAAAATATCATCTTTTACAAAAATTCTAATAATGTCTTTATTTAGTCCTATAGCACTTACTTCCCTTTGATAAATTAGGAAAACACAATTACTTCCCTTTATAAAATCATTGCATTTTGTGGAAAAGTATTTACTTTTTAATTACTTTGTTTTGGTGTTGGGAAAAAAAATAATTACATAATTAGCGGGGATTGATCAAGTGCAAATGTTGTAGGTATTTTACGGATAAGCTTGGAGTATTAAAATTGTTCATCAAATTGAAACAGGCGCGTTCGTTTAAGTGAGTGCAAAAGACTATGAATAAGTTGGGGTACTATAGTCGTTCATTAAGCTAAAACAGGTGATTCCGCCCCGGGCGTTTATGTTCGCGTTAGTGTTTTCTTTGTGTTTAGGTGGGTTTGCGTTAGTGGTTGCGTTTTGATTTGGTTCGTTTTTGTTCTTTCTTTTTTCGTTTTTGTTTGTGTTTTTTTTGTTTGGGTTTGTATTTGTGTTTTTGGTTGGTTTTGCGTTTGGATTTGGTTTGTTTTCGTTTGCTTTTTCGTTGTTTTTTTTTTTTGTTGGTATTGGTCTTTGTGGTTGGGTTTGTTGTTAGGTTTTTGTTTTCGTTTGCTTTTTTGTTTGTTCTTTCTTTGTGTTTGTATTGGTGTTTGTGGTTGTGGTTGGGTTTGTTGTTAGGTTTTTGTTTTCGTTTGTATTTGTAGTTGTGTTAGCGTTATGTTTGCGTTTCACACAGGTAATGGTCATTAACAGAAAGGTTTTTCACAGAAGCCAGAGCAGGGCCTGGCCGGGACGGCTAGTGCTCTAATAAAGTAATCTGCGTACTATTCAGCTAGTTAATTTGTCATTGAAAAACAATGCATACCTGTTATTCAAGACAGGGTTGAGCCTAATAAGCCAACAACAAATCGGACCCACTGCTATTATACGCTAATAAAGTTAACGTTCCAATACTAGATTACATCTTCTATAACACACACACACACACACACAGCCACAGCCCCACACACGTAGACTGACACACATATATTTATATATATATATATATATATATATATATATATATATATATATATATATATATATATATATATATATATATATATATATGTACATATATATACATAATGATGTTTGTTTATTCCTTTAGATTTTAATGGCACTAAGAAATGTTGCTGGCAAAATTATGACACTACTGATACACCTCTATTCGCTTTTAAAACCAAACAAAGGTATTACATTTTTTAAATGTAAATCGTTCAATTTATGAACTATTTTTACATAAATTCCATTATACTTATCTAGTCTTTTTTTCTGCTTCGTCTGCGTTCTTAATTGATTTTATGCCGGTGGATTTAATCAGTTAAGTCCAGCTTCGTTGATATAATAGACTGTGGTCTCATGATTTCTGGGCGCCCCATATAATCTTGTCTAACATTACTTATCTTTTCTTTACCCATTAAACCTTTTTTCCCAATCAGAAACCTACAATTTTGATGTTTTTGAATGTAATCCAGCGAACTTGGAGCTAAGCCTATTCCATTTTGCAAAACTTTGCAAGAAAGACCCTGCGCATAAAGGTTTTACACCTATCAACACCTTTGGAATTGAAGACCTACCTGAAGACCATCGTGACGTAGAGCTGGTAGAGTTGATACGAGCAATGTCTGAATTGACTGTAAGAGTGGCTGTTACGTTCACAAGCTGTGCTAGACCCAAAAGGTATCTTCAAAGAACTAAAAAAACCACGTCGGATACAAATAACAGCAAACCGACGCGCACTGGGACGGGAAGGGTTGAACGAGTTGATAAATTCACAAAGGACGAAAAGATTAATTGCCCGTGTGTAGACTGCGAGAAATCGTCAGAGCCTTTGCAGGAATGGGGGGAGGTCTGGGTTTTGAGAGCCGTGCATGTTGTTTTCAACACCTTGGAAGCCAAACACACGATCTGCAGAGTCAGCTTCGGCGAAGGAAAAAGCGAGGTGGTTAATATAAAGGGATTAAGGATTGACTCCAAAAGCGATGAAGGTGACACGTGTTGGCTAGTATGTATCACCCACGACTTAGCGTTAGTGGATAAGCTGCAGAAAATGAAAACAAAATTTGACGTTTTACGCTGGAAGGTGGGAAAGAAGTACAAGAACACCAGCAAACTGGCTTTCATCGTGTCTCACCCACACGGCTGTTCTAAGCACGTCTCCATCGGAGAATGGTTCACCAGACAGGAAAGGTTAGGGAGAGGGTCAAGGTTCAACTACACCACGCCCACCTGCCCAGGTAGCAGCGGTGCCAGTGTCTACCTGCTAGGGTGTGGTATGTTCTTTGAGCACGTCCATCGTGGTTCTGATTATGCTAATTACAGTGGGGCGCCTTGGTATGAGTTGTGCAAACGTAAAAATAAGAGAATATAAAACAAATTTGGACTTTAACCTGAAAGTTTTAATTTAATTTAAAGAGTGTAAGCCAATATAATATAACCTACATAGATAATGTCCATTTGTATTAAACACTTTTAATTTTATATAAACTAAAAAAAAAATCATGTTTTAACTCAGTTATCTAAAAACTATATATATATATATATATATATATATATATATATATATATATATATATATATATATATATATATATATATATATATATATATATATATATATATACATATATATATATATATATATATATATATATATATATATATATATATATATATATATATATATATATATATATATATATAATATATATATATATATATATATATATATATATATACATATATATATATATCTTTTTTTTATCCGGGTTGAGTCATACAGTTGACAAAAACTTTTTAACTACTAATTGATATTAACATATTATTAAGTGTCAAAATTAATCAGTATTAATCTATTAATAGTGTACATTGTTAATGACTATTTCAACATTCTGATAGATTAATTTAAAGAAAATATTTATTTTTTTGTCCTCTTTTTTACTTTCTCGTATATGCGAAGTATAGAGAAAGTCTGGCAATCGTGCAAAAAAAAAAAATAAACCGGGAGTGATCTCCCCTAAACTTTCTCGAATATTCTTATTAATACTAATAGTTTCGCTGTCTGTCTATCTATCTATCTGTCTGACAAGAACGCTCTAGAGAAAAGACAAGGAAATTAAAAACCTTCAAAGTAAAACGAAAACGAAATATGACGTCGACACATTTAGCATAGAGTAGAACATAATCTCAAACCAGAGAGTGCACACAGTAATATGACGTCATTGATTCTCGAGTAAACATTGAAAAAAAGGAAATTTTGTCTAATCTAAATGGTTTGCGTGAAGAGTTTCTTGCATATAATTCTTCGGGTAGGGGCGAAGCCCCACCCCCCGCGTAAGAACGTCTGAGCCCCCCCCCCCTCCCCAACTCAAAAGAAATTTCTTCATCGATACTCTATAATAAAATTACCGCCTAATTAATGTGTCTAATCAAAAAAGTGGTTTTCTTGCAATTTCTTTAATGCAATTCTTCGGGTAGTGGCTAAGCGCGACACCAGTGATTCTTTCAGACTTTTTCCTCCACGGAGAGGGGGTGGGGGTAATTGAAATTTTCGGGGGCGGGGGTAGAATTTTCGGGGAGGGGGGCGGACACTGGAAAAAGTATATAATTATATTTCGTTGAATGGGACGGTAGACATGTTTTTTTTGGGAGTGGGGGGTGGGGGTGGGGGGTGGGGGGTGGGGGTGGTGTGTGTGTGGGTGGGGGGGGGGGTGGGTGGTTTCCTCATCGATACTCTATAATAAAATTACCGCCTAATTAATGTGTCTAATCTAAAAAGTTGTTTTCTCGAAATTTCTTTAATGCAATTCTTCGGGTAGTGGCTAAGCGCGACACCAGTGTTTCTTTCAGACATTTTCCTCCCCGGAGAGGTGTGGGGGTACTTGAAATTTTCGGGGGCGGGGGTAGAATTTTCTGGGAGGGGGCGGACACTGGAAAAAGTATATAATTATATTTCGTTGAATGGGACGGTAGACATGTTTTTTTTTTGGGGGGGGGGGGGGGTGGGGTGGGAGGGGGGTGGTGGTGTGTGTGGGGGGGTCGGGGGGGGGGTGGGGGGGTCGTGGGTGGGTTGGTTTTAGTTTAGAGAAAAGAGACAGCACTATCAGCCTAGCGCCCGTTGTACCCTTCCTCAACGGGCCATTTTTCTCGTATAAAATAACAGGGGATGGGAACTCGGGCTATAGACATGATTTTTAATCCATTTTAAATACTTAAAGTTTTAAAAATAGAATAAAATCTCGTAGACAAATTAAGTGCACACCAAGTGAACGCCAAATAAAAAAAGCGCACAATAGTGCGCAATATTATTAGTACTTTATAAATTCACATGCGTTTTTTGAGAAATCGGAAATAGCGAAAATTACTACTTCCGGTTAAGGGTTGATGAAATTTCATATTAAAGTATAATTTCAAAATCGTACAACCGTATCAACTTTTTAGCGATTTCCGATAAACGGAAGTGGTACTTTTCTCCTTTGAATTTTTCAAAAGCCTATAACTTGTGTACTATTTCAGATAGATAAATGCAATTTCACATGTAAGTAAAAGATCTAATTCTCTACCTTCAATCAAATTTTGAGTAATTTCCGTTGACCGGAAGTAGTATTTTACGCTATTTCCGACTTCTCAAAAAACGCATGTGAATTTATAAAGTACTAATAATTATACACATCTTTATTTTTGTTCACTTGGTGCGCAATTCTTTTTTTCTATACTATTTATAAAAGTTTAAAAATTAAAAATGGATTAAAAATCATGTCTATATCCCGAGTTTCCATCCCCAGTTGTTTTATATAAGAATATTCGAGAAAGTTTAGGGGAGATCACTCCCGGTTTATTTCTTTTTTTTTCCGCCTCAGACATATAATTCACAGCGTAAGTTTGCCTTGCATGTTAGCTTTAGTATTACAGTTTTCACCATCGGTTTGTGAGGACTGATACAGATTTACAATATTAATACTTCTTTCTTATATTATGTATCCTACTCTCATTTATTTAAAATGGTTTTCCTATACATAGATCTAATTCAAAACGTCTATTTACAATTATATTTTTAAAATAAAAACCTTAAATTGCAAATGTGTAATAAATGATGATTTATGGAATTTTTTTCCATCGGCCTGGTGAACTGAGGGGGTTTGGGCTTTCAAGTAGAGCTGAAATAAATCTGGGATTAAAGAAAAAAAATATAAATATTTTAAGCAACCGGAATGTTATGTTGATTACAATGAGAAACATCAAATATAAACAAAATCTTCCCTTTCAAACATCTATATCTATAGCAGTCCTCAACTAGTTTTTTTTAAAATAATACTAAATAAATAATTTCTTTTTTTTATTACATAATACATTATACAGATTAAAACCGCGCATGTCATTTCTAAGTTTTAAATAAAGTAAATTATACAAAACGTCTAAGTTTTTAATAATGTAATGTATACAAAACGTCTAAGTTTTTAATAATGTAATGTATACAAAACGTCTAAGTTTTCAATAATGTAATGTATACAAAACGTCTAAGTTTTCAATAATGTAATGTATACAAAACGTCTAAGTTTTCAATAATGTAATGTATACAAAACGTCTAAGTTTTCAATAATGTAATGAATACAAAACGTCTAAGTTTTCAATAATGTAATGTATACAAAACGTCTAAGTTTTCAATAATGTAATGAATACAAAACGTCTAAGTTTTCAATAATGTAATGAATACAAAACGTCTAAGTTTTCAATAATGTAATGTATACAAAACGTCTAAGTTTTCAATAATGTAATGTATACAAAACGTCTAAGTTTTCAATAATGTAATGAATACAAAACGTCTAAGTTTTCAATAATGTAATGTATACAAAACGTCTAAGAGTTAACAATTGATTAGTGTTCCTTCGTAGCATCAACGGTTTTTATCTTCCGTCGTAGTTGTATGTTGCCCGGTCTTCGGATGGTGGTGGTTAACGTGCATCTGTATTCTTTCCTCTGTTGGGAGTATTAAGTTGCAGAATCCGCACTCGTAGGAAGTTGCTTCAAGGTGATTTTGATTGTAGTGCATACCTTTATCGATGTGTATTGTTTTATCGACAGACAATTCACTGTTTGAGTTGTGTGTGTCTTTTGTTCTCATGGCTTTCCGCATCCATTGTGTGCTGTGCTTTCTTGCGCAGAATTTGCATTTGTTGTTGTCGAAGACTTTTTTTTGTGATCTTTTGAGCTATTGTTAATTTCCCTGCCTCTGTAGGGTTGAGTTCCGTTTTCCTTTTTTTTTTGTTGGTGAGTTAATAAATAATGTCTTAGTTTCAGGGAGCGGAAAAAACCAAGCGACAATCATGGTAAATCGAAAATAAATTTGTTGTGACAGAGATGGCTGTTTGATAAAGGTAATAGTTTTAAATTTTAACTATTATCAATTGATAATTTCAAATTTTATAGAATAATCATGATATTAATAGAACTTGTAAAAAACGTAATAAGTAATATAAGTAACTTAATTTTTTTTTCCAATTTCTTACTGCTGAATGTTTCTGTAAATTTTAACTTCTTTTTAGAATAATAGAAGTTTTTCCCTTGACGTAAGATATAGTAATATTTTTTCTTTAAATGGGAAGTAACTAGTACAACAAATCGATGTTCAAAGGTACTTACGAGTTTAATTCGTTTAGTAACATTATACTTATGTCAAGGCATTTTAATCTATTAAAATCAATTGAATTTTTTTTAAAGAGTATGTATACAACATAATATAAGGTAATGTGTAATCAGACGAAGGAAACTTACGGAAGATGCTGGTAGAGGTGTAAGCCTAGATTAAGGTATAGGTAATTGACAAGGCAGCTTCCATTCCCTTGCTGTTAATTGCCTGACTAATTATAGTCTTAACACTACGCTTTATCCTTAAATTTAACGGAACTTAAACTTCATCCAACATAATTGAACCTAAATGTTACCAAATAATGCCATGTTACTTCCGTTTAATATTCGTCCCAGTTTTGTTGTTCGCTCATCTTTGCTGTTTTCGCTTTCCTTACTTACCTCTCTTTCCCATACAGGCCGTTAAAATAAACCTTTCCAAAGAGGTTTTTCTTTCTCCCTTTCAGAATGTTTCAGGCATGAGTTAGGTAAGTATCTCTAAATAGCTTCGATATACAATCAATTGCAATTTTTTGGGAGATTCATTTTCCAGGAACTGTTAAATCCACAATGTTACACGTTTCTCAAATTTTCCTCGACTGTTAAAGTCAATTTTAGCACGCTAAAAAAAATCTCGGATTTCGTGGCACTCGTATATCGAGGTACCGATGTATTAAATTTATAACATCAAAACAAATACATGTCTTCATTATTAAGCGTGACATTTTTGTTTGATCAGGTTAAACT